GGGTGAGACGTATGAATGATTCCATAAAGAGAGACAGAGTTATGATTCCTATAGGAGCTTCTTTAACTTAGCCTATTCTAGAAATTTCTACAAGACGAGCATTATAGGCTATGGCACCCAGGCAGGACGTATAGCAGACGGGGGAGTAAACACGGGATGGGAGCCTAGGTAGGAGAGAAAGGAAGTTGTGTTCGCCTGACTGTCCGTTGGCTTAGCTGTGCCTGCTGGGGAGGCTAGACGGATGTTAGCCAAGGAGAGCAGCAGTCTCTGAGACTGATTTCTTGCGCAGCCACTGCTCTGCTGAGGTCAGAGCTGGGACTGGCTATGCAGCTCTGCCCAGTCTCTGTCTAGCCCTTCCCCGACTCAGAGCACTCGATGCCCTGGTTGTTCCCCTTTGTTGAGAATTTGAATGCGCTCGAACGGAACATTGTGGTACATATCCATTCATTAACTGTGTTGGCAGCTGCTTATTCTTTTCTGAGCTTTTAGAAAAGGAACCATAATTCCCGTCATTATATTGGTGACCGGGATGGTTAAAAATGGGCAATACAATATATTTGCCAGAGGATCAGTAGCTTCACTGGGTGTTCAAAGGTTCAAATTCCTGGGGTCGTTTCTTTTTAAGGAGAGTCAGTAAGTGGCTGCGATTTTCTGCAGTCACTTCCCTCGTGAGAGCTGCTTCTGAGGAGGTGCAGGGTTGGTAGGAGAGAGAGCATGCGGACGAAAGCTCTCTCTTCTCCCTAGCAGCACCCCTTGTCTTCTCCGTGCCACGTCTGTCTGAAGAGCTCCACACTCAGACTGAGGTCTCAGTTCATACATCAGTTCCCTCAAGATGGTTGAAAGGTCCCCCACCCTTGTGCTCCCGTGCCTCTGTACTTCCCTATTACCACACTCTACCCCTGCACTTGACTCGTCTGTCCGGTTGCTCCCTGGATTGCAAGGTCGACAGAGGAAGAGAAGATTTTATTCCTGTTGTATTCACAGCACGTCTCACAGTGCCTGGCACATAACATGGTGAAAAAGCACTTACTGAGTAATTAATAATCCTGGTTTTATGAAGTGACATTATTAAATTAATAAATGATTAAATTCAGAAACAATACAAAAGTTAAAAACATGAAAAACCAAATACTTCTAACAATTGCCTGGATTCATTAGTGATCACTTTAATATAGATTTCACCCCTCCTCCCCCCAAAGACACACACACATATGCACGCCCCCGCACACACGCACGCGCACATGCATGCTTTCTGTGAGCAGCTGCTTACTGCTGCACTGAGCTCTGGAAGACCAGAAAAGTACTATCAAAATAAAGTATTTATTAATTATAACTACTGCAAGGGCTCTTGGACAGTGCTCATTATACCCAGAAACTGACATGATTCTTATAAAACAAGAATAACAATTGGAACAGATCAAGGAAGTTTCATTCAGCAAGTGTTTTTTTTTTTTCCCCCTAGGGCATAAATTGATACTTCAAAGTCCTGTTTGCTAGGGTGCAAAATCGTTGTAACTATTACTTGTGCATCTGGAAATCAGGCTCTTAGAAGATGCACTGAGAAGTACACAACATCACATTGAAATATTGCTGTACAAAATGAATCTAATCATGAAGAAACATCAGACAAATCCAAACTGAGGAAACTGTTCCAGAATAAAGGAGACTAGATATTAGATATTGACAACTAAATGCTATATGTGATCTTAGATTTAAATCCTGAAGTAGTTTTATCTCTGCATTTCTCTCTCTGTCCATCCATCCGTCTACCAATCTATCCAGCTATCCATCTATGTGAAGAATATCATTGGGGCAATTGTCTTAAATTGAATAGAGTCTATAGATTAAATAATGGTATGGAATCACCATTAATTTTCTTTTTGATCATTGTAACTCTGGTTATGTAAGAACATTTTCTTGTTTTTAGGAAATCCTAGGAAATTGGGTGAAAAATTTTCTAGAATTCTTTATACTCTTCTTGGAACTTCTCTGTAACTCTAAAGTTATTTCAAAATAAAATGTTATAAAAATTAGGGATATAAATACAGATACCCAAATTGAGAGAGGTGCACTCTTATGAGCTGAATGTTTGTGCTCCTCGCACCCCAATTCATATGTTGAACCTAATCCCCAGTGTGATGGTAGTTGGAGGTGGGGTCTTTCGGAAGTGATTAGGGCATAAGGGTGGAGCTCTCATGAATGAGATTTTTTTTTAAATAACTGCTCCTATAAAAGAGACTGCAGAGAGCCCTCTTGCACCTTCTGTTATGCGAGGGCACAGCTCGAAGGCGAGGATCTATAACCAGGAGGGGTTTCTCATCCAACACAGTATCTACTGGTGACTTAATCTTGCACTTCTCAGCCTCCAGAACTCTTGAGAGTTTGTTTTTCAAGCCACCCTGTTTGTTATGTTTTTGTCATAGCAGCCCAAACAGAATAAGACATGCACATTAAGCAAAATAGTTTTTATACAAACTCAGGTTAATATTTAAGCATGCTGAAAATTTGTTAAAAGACCTAGGAGTGTTTGTTTCTCTCAGGGTTCATTTCAAAGGGCAGGGGTGCATATTGGATTTGGTGTCATTTCCAGTAACATAGTGCAAGGGTGAGGCCCCACACATGGTTAGTGTTGCAATATATAAAAAGCCACTTCAGCCAGTGCAAGTCCTCAGAGACAGCTAAGCATACCAGTGTCTAGGGGCAGCAGGGAATTGGAAGAAAGGATACAGTGTAAACATAACTTCCAAGCTGACCATTGCTCTATTGCTCTTTTGTCAGTTTCTTGCTTTCTGTTGCATCCTGTGAAGGTAGGCATACCCTCCCATCAATAGAGTTTCCTCTTGTCTAATGCTTTGATAACAAACGCTAATTTTACTCAAACAAACAAGCAAAAAAATCTGTTTACATTCGTTTAATGTTGACAGGGCTGCAAAAGGACTTTCATGGACCCTGGACACTCTTACCTTTATGGGGGTCTCCCATCCTAATCATCTCAATATTAAAAATTATTTTTGATATAGCTTGAAATACTTCAACTTTTTCTTCTGTTTTAGGCAAAATTTAGATTTTTGTGAGCCCCCGAAATTTCATCTTTCTCTTTCGTGAGAAAAAAATAAGTCTAACTCTAAATCTTCTTTATTTTGACCTTAAAAGAAATTGAAACATTCTTATGGGTCACTAAGATTATTGTGGGAGCTAGGCACTGTGTCTACTGTACCTAATGCATAAGTTAGCTGGCTCTGATTTGAATTAGATTTTGAATTTTTTATTCTCTATCTCTATACCTCTAAGGAAAGTAATATTTGAGTTGATGTAGACATCTGGTTGCTAAAAATCAGATTCTGTTCTATAAGACATATTTATATGTCTGAATATTAGTTGAATTTTATAGACTTATGTCTCACTATATATAGCTATATCCATATATAATTTGTGTTCCATGGGAGCCACAGTTGATAAAAATTATGTATTAATATTGAACCAGATATTGAACCCATGTATTTTTACTCTACATTCTGTTAACAAAGGCTCAGGCAACTATCATCTCCTGCTTGCTTTGAAGACCCCATGACGCATCCTAGACCCTCCTGAGATCCTGCTCTATAACAAATACAATACTTTTTTAAAGATTTTATTTATTTATTTGCCAGAAACAGAGAGAGAGAGAGGGCGTACACAAGTAGGGGGAGCGGCAGGCAGAGGGAGAAACAGACTCAATATGGGACTCAATCCCAGGACCCTGGGATCATGACCTGAGCTGAAGGCAGATGCTTAACCCACTGAGCCACCCAGGTGTCCCAATAATATTGTATTTTTAGCCTGTGGTTTCTGCACTTGCTCTTTTTCTTTTAATTGCATTAATTCTTCTATATATAAGATATCCCTGTGAAATAGTCATATATTACTATTAATTTTTTCTGAAGCTGATTTCTTTATTGATGAGATCCTAGCTTACCTCCTACAAATAGTGTTATGATGTCACATAGGATTCTGCAAAATCAAATAGAAGAAAAAAAATGCCATATGGAGGTTCTATGCTAATTTTAAAAACTACAAATATTAGTCTTTATATAGAAAGGTATTCAAAATTGTCAGTGAGAATCACTTTTTTTAAAAAAGGAAATTGATGTCAAGGGCTGGCCAAAAATTAGGTCTCTATTTGCAGCAAGCTCTTTCTTAAAATTAAAACATTTTCCACAGTCTTCAGGATCATTGTATTGGATTTTAAAGGGTATCTAACAGAGCTGTGCCCTTTGATGAAACAGTCCCTATCCCCTTACTGTTTCCGCTGCTTCCATTGGGCCAAGTATGAGTGCAGTGCTTCAGTGCCAGTACATGAGGACACATTCCACTCCTTTCCATCCCAAATATATCAAAGAATTAAAAAAGATTCAGGATAGTTCACACTATAAAAATTGAGAAATCATGTATACGCTTTTAAAAACGCTTTGTTATTTTGCTTCTGCATATGTAGAAAGTCTAAGTGCTGGGTATTTATGGTAAACAAAAGAGCAAGAAAAAAAAATCTCTGTCCTTATGAAAGGTAACATGCTACAGATGTCTGTTTTGTTTTAGCTATTGAGACCCTTTACTTCTGAATTCTAGAGCGAAGGCTTCATTTATTTCACATAAGCAAACTCCAAAACACAGTTTGGAGAGCTGGCTAACCTCCATTCTGCAGAGTTAAAATAATTAGAGAAACAGTAGAAAGTTTCTGAAATAACAATTAAATTTGAATTGGAACTAGTGTGATTGAAGCAACTCCAGGTGCGTGTTGGCTGACCCCTAGCAATTTGACTCCACATAACCTGGGAATTCCTTTCACTGTGAGGACTGGGTCCAGTGGCCTTTGGCAGTGTAAGCGAGGTGCCCGTGGCTTCTGGAAAATTGTGAAGAAATCCCTGGGATCATTTCAGTTCACCAGGGAACCCCACAGGACCATGGCAAAGGATTACCTAAAACCAGAGAAATAATTCATCTCAAAAATCTCATTATTTTAGCGTGAAGCTTATTCATGAAGAGACCTCTGCCTGGCTCTGCAGTGGAAGTGGATGCAGAAGTTTCTAGATAGTTTTGAGGAGGTGAGTTGATTTTTCTCAATTAAAATTCTTCATTTCTCATGCAACTAATAAGGAGCTTTCAGAAGTCAGCTCAATCACCTGATGGAATTGCACTAAGCCTTTTTTCCCTGCTCCTTAAAAGGTTTCTTTCATGTCTTTGCCCCTTTGGTGATAGAAAAGAATGGCAATAGCAGTTTTGCTTTTTTGGTAACTGACAATGTAGAGCAAAACAGTAAACCGAAGAGTATTAATTTCTCTGAAAAAAAAAAAAAGAAACACAACAAAGAAGTTCCCTTATGCTTTCTTAATCCATTGTTTTTAATTGCTTTTAGGGATGAGAACAATGAATGATATAAAAAGTAAAGGATAATTCCTCCATGGTTTCCCAAAATTTCTTAGTGAACATACTAATGAAGCTTCAAATAAATAAAGTCAGAGCTTTAGCCATGCTGATGGGTCCCCCCCGCCTTCCCCCCAATCTTCCCATCTTCACTACTGCATCCCTCACTGTACTTAATCTTCAGAGGTTTTCTCTGGCCACCAGAGTCCACTAAACCATGGGCTGGAAATACTGGAAATGAGTGTCCCTGAAAACAGCCTCCAACTAATGACTTACTAGGGTAGCGTACATCTCCCAGCTCCCTCGCCCCTCAGGTGGGATAACCCCGATGAACGTGTTCCACACGGTTCCAGTGAAGCTCCAGTTAATCCATAGCAATAACTTGTTTGATAACTAACACCTGACTGAGTGCTTTCTCTTTCCTTCACTACTCTCTCCCTATTCCTCCCATGGTTATAGGGATCACTTTCAAAATAAACTATTTACACTTGAATCTGTATCTAAGTGACTGCTCGAAGGAAGACCCTAACTAAGGCAAGAGCTGTGAGTACTCTGGGGGGCTGAAAAGGAACCACTGTGCTCAGTGTCTTGAATTTCTAAAGCAGGGTAAAAATATACCACTTCGTCTGACACAGAATTATGAGAACATGTAAGATGCTTTAAGCTTTTTTTTTTTTAAAGATTTTATTTATTTGAGACAGAGAGAAAGAGAGAGAGAGAGAGAGAACGAGCACACGAGAAGGGGGAGGAAGCCCGATGCGGGACTCGATCCAGGGACTCCAGGATCATGACCTGAGCCACCCAGGCGCCCAAGATGATTTAAGCTTTTAAATAGTCGTATAAAAGACTACTTTCAAATGTAATTTAGTTCAAATATAATATAATATACATGTATATAGGTAGTGCATAGATTAGCCAAATGTTAAATATAGACAAATTATAAAGAAAAGATATTAAGAGGATAATATAACGATTTGGTAGAACATTCTTATTTTAGACTCAGTGATGTTATATTAGAGTGCTCTGCCGCTGCTCTCATCTGTGCTGGTACTCTGCTTAGCCTGCCTTCCATTTTTACTCAATTATAGCTTGGACCATGAGACTTTTGTGCTAGAGAAGCATCCCTGTTATAGCTTTATTATATTTGAAAAGCAAAATAGCAAAGATTCACTTGACATTGTACTCAGTGTCACTGTTGGTTGGTCAAAATTATTTACTATGTACCATAGGTTGTCATTATTTTATTTAAATGGAAATGTTTTGTCAACACCGTGTTTTATTTATTTAACTTTTAAAAAGATGTTTCTTCATATGCTCCGAGGATGGATTCTTTTCTCTCTACCATTTTGGCAGTTGGGAAATATACATGTTTTCTTCATTCTCTCTTCTTCCTTCCTTCCTTGCTCCCTCCCTTCCTGCCTTTCTTCTGCCTTCCCTTTTTTCTTAACGTGCAAGTGTAAACTTTTCTAGAAAGCTTTTTATTTTACCAATCACATTTTGACTTAGAAAGTTTAAAATTTTCTATGGTAATTTTTACACCTTATACACCTTTGTTTTCAAAACACAGAAGAGAACCAATTCCAGGGAGGATTTATATATTTTAGTCTCTTAGTTTGGGATTTTTTTTCTCAAGTCCTCAGTATTAGTGCTTCACGGTTTAGGTACTTGTTCCCGAGGCTGACTTTCGACTATCCATCAACCAGTGGTTGTACATAGCAAGCCTAGACTTCCTGGGCTGTCAGTGGAAGGAGGGAGAAAAATACAATTGATGAATTAATCATTTGAATAAGGAAATGAAATTTACATAAATGTAGCAGAGCAAATCCTCTGACTATACAATTTGGTATAAATTGACCCACTTTTGGGGCGCCTGGGTGGCTCAGTCTGTTAAGCGACTGCCTTCAGCTCAGGTCATGATCCCAGGGTCCTGGGATGGAGCCCCGCATCGGGCTCCCTGCTCGGTGGGAGGTCTGCTTCTCCTTCTCCCACTCCCCCTGCTTGTGTTCCTGCTCTCACTATCTTTCTCTGTCAAATAAATAAATAAAAATCTTTAAAAATAAATAAATAAATAAATTTACCCACTTTTATTGCATGTCTAATTTGTGTCATATAGTTTACATCTTACTAACTATTGATGATAATGCCACAAAGTAGTTGGTATCCTCATCTCATCAATGAGGAAATTGGTGCTCAAAGAAGTTTAATAACTTGCTAAAGTTTATCTGAGTAGTAACAGTGTAGAAAAGAAGCCAGGCATATGCTCACGTCAAAGATAACCTGATTGAATCAGTCAGCATGTTTAGTCCAGCTACCTGATGATGATCTTGGGCCCATACATGAATGAACAAATAAATGAGCTAAGAGAATAGTCTCTCTCTGTTTTAAGAGAGACTACGATGGAGCTGGTAACTCTGGTCATGTGACTAACAGGGCAGGAAGAAAGGGTATTAGCCAGGAATATTACTATTTTCTTTAAAGTCCTGGCATATTAGTGCCACAGTAGACCAGTGAGAATTACTTATCTCAATAGAAGATAAGAGATAGGGAAAAAAGAAAATAAAGCATACTCTTTTTCTCTCCTAGGCATCATTATAGAAAACCCCATGAGTTGGATTTAAACAGCTTTTATTTAGGGGAAACCCAAGTACCTGGGAAATAGAAGGACAAATTAGAGGAGAAGCTCTGTGCTAGAGTCAAGGTGTATTTTCTGGATAAAAAGGATACTTGATATGTATAAAGGAAGCAAGGATTGTTTTGTTGGGAATCAATGGTCTAAGGACATCTATTAAAAAACTTTGGCCAGTACCATTATTCTACTTATTATCAGAGCGTTTTTCAGATTGTCATAGTGCAAAAAGTCCTGAAAAAAATGTGACTAACTGTGGGGTTCCATATTTTTTTTGGTCAATTCAGGCTGACAAATATTTAACTGCCATGCCTTTTGATGAACTGTTTAGCTTTCTTTGAAGCCAGGGTTTCATGGTTAGCTTGTGAGGTGATAATGCCAGGTACAGAGCTATTGAAGCTTAGAAGAAAACCACTTTTGCTTCCTCGATGAGGTTTTTATGAATTTAAATAGATGCTCCTGGGCTTATCTAAGCAGTCCCAGTAGGATTCAGTATACCTACAAACAAGATAGTCTGTGATGAAACTCACCTGGAAGAGCTAAATTAACCTGGCAATTGGTGGGGGCAGATGCCTCCCTTGTCAGAGGCAGTACCAAAAGCAATCACTCTCGTAAAAGTAACCACTTTCCAGGAGTCCAGAGGTCAATGATGCAATCTGTGCTGTCCCCGTCCAGTGAGGGACAGCTGTGTTACCTTTGTCAACCTAATTCTACTGTGAAATTCAGGTGACTTTTTTTTTTTTTTTTTTTTTTTTTTCCGCTATGGATCTGCTGGATCCAGCTTTCTGGTTCCTAGGGAAATTCTCTGAGCTCACCAATGTCTCGCTTTCATTTTACAGCTTTATTAGGGCATAATTTCCCTATAATAACTTTACATATTTAAAATTTATAATCTGATGAACTTTGATATATGTATACGTCCCTGAAACCATCATCAGAGTAAAGATAATGAATATATCCATTACCCTCAAAAGTTTCCTCCTGCCCTTTTGTAATTCCTCCCTCCAACCCTGCTGCTCAGAAAAACACTAGTCTGGTCCCAAGAAAAATGTTGGTCTGCGCAGAGGCTTCCACGGAGAATGGCCCTAGAGATCAAGGGGCAGCCTCAGGCTTTGTCTGATTTAGCTCGAAATTCATGCCACATCTCTTGTGCCACAACCTATTTATTAAGCAAGTCACTAATATCAACTCAGAATCAAGAGAAGGGGAATTTGATTCCTCCTCTCAACGGAAGGAGTAGCAAAAAATTTTCCACCATCTTTAAATTACCACACTGAAATTGAAATGATTATAATAGCCTAAACTCCCCATTTTACAGATACAGATACCAGAGCATGGAGTTTTGATGTGACATCAATTTTGAGTAAATACAATTTACTCTAAAACTCTAAATATCATGCTCAAGACTTCAGGAAAGATTTAAGTCAAAAACTTTGTTAGATACCTGACACGTTACTTTTGGCCTCTCTCCAATAAAAAAAAAAAATACCTTCAGCAGTCTGCTTAGAGCTTCCCGGGACAAAGCCTTCCAGTTCCTATCTACTTCTCAAGAGGGCTAGGAAAAGAAAAACTCCAATCTTCAAGCTGTATGGGAAATTCTCACTGATGCCACAGAAAGGGATGTGATCATTGCAAACATTCTGCATTATATGTTGTCTGCCATGTTTTTCACCATTGCAATTTCATATTGCAAACCTTCTGGGGTATGACTGAGAAATGAGAGCAGCACTCCAAAACAACTGAAGAGGATTTAGATCATTGAGAAGCCAATTGGCTTCTCAAGAAGCAGATACTGATGTTCTAGAGATCTGGTGTACAACAGTGTGCATATAGTTAACATTATTGTGCTGTCCACTTAAACATGGCTAAGGTGATAGATTTCATGTCATGTGTTTTTTTACCACACACACACACACACACACACACACACAGGAAGCAGATTGTGAAATGATTTTGAATTTAAATACATTTTATGGGGGGGAGGAGCAAGATGGTGGAGGAGTAGGAGACCTGGATTTCATCTGGTCCCAGGAATTCAGCTGGATAGGGATCAAA